TTGACTATTCTTTCCAATATTTTAACTACAACACTGGTGATGCTTACAGGTCTGTAGTTCGATTAAACTTGTCTTTGTCCTGTTTTATGTATGGGAGTGACGATTGCGTCCTTTCAGTCCATGGGCAACACAATCTCGAGCCCATCCAACTAAATCGTCTAAGTCAGCTTGAAGATCCACATGATCAGCCGCACTTTTTATTGTTCTCCAGATTTTTACATCATCCGCAAACAATAATGTCGACGACCTTAGTAACAGCGGCAACTCATTAACGTAGAAAAGGAAGAGAAGAGGGCCTAAAATGGCGCCTTTGGGTACATCACTTTCGACCGGCTTCTAGTCGGATAGCGTTCCGTTGACCCTCACTCTCTGTCTGCGGTCACATAAGAAATTTCCTATCCACTCATGTACAGTACCTATTATTCCGAAGCTCGTGAGCTTCTGCATAAAACCTACGTGTGAAACCTTGTTAAATGCTTTGCTAAACTCTATGAATATCACATCGACAGACAGACCGTTATCTAGGGCTGCTGTCCAATCCTCCCTCGCAATAAGCAAGTTAGTCGAGCATGAACGCCTGTTACAAAATCCGTGTTGCTCAGGAGCTAACAGATTGTGTAAATCTATGTAGCTTAGCAACCTAACCCGAATTAACTTTTCAAGTAACTTAACGACTATGCTAGTTAGACTAACAGGCCGATAGTTAGATACGATACCATGTGTCCTAAACTTAAAATGAATTACAACGTGATCACTGTTCACTAGTGAGGGAAGGTGCTGAATATCAAGGACATCCTCGCAGTGGTGGGTGAGGGCGAGGTCCAGAAGTGACGGATCATGATTGAAATCAATATGTGTCGGTTTTGTGATACATTGTACAAGTGCACACTGAATAACGGTAGATAAAAGGTCGCTATCGAAACCACTACCTGGAGCTGTAAGCTCTATCCAGTTGATATGCGGTACGTTGAAATCCGCAATGATGAGACAACATTCTGCCATACTCCAAGAACAGATGTGTCTCAGGATAGAGTCGTCAGCAAGACAAAACGGACTTCGGTATATTCCCCCTATAGTCACTAACCAACTTCTAGATTTAATCTTAAAACACGCAACCTCTCATGTGCCACTGATATGAGCCCCCGATATGGTTGATTGTATACGAAAGTGATCCCTAACATATAATATTATACCTCCGCCTTTGCGAATTGAAACTCTATCACTTCTAATACAGATATAGCCTGCAATGGACGGAGAACAGTCTATATCTACTGTGAACCAAGTTTCTGTAACAACGATTATATCGGGACATAATTCTTCCACCATCAGACTTAGCTCGGACGTTTTATTTCTAAGACTACGAGCGTTCGTGTAGCACACACTTAAGATGTTTTGGTAATCAAACGTTCTACCTGTACAGGCCTCGGAAGCATTGGCTTCCAAGACATGACTACCCGAAAACCCTTAATGGTAAGGTTATTTTCGCCATTTAATTTCCTAGTCCCCAATTCCGTAAGAGCACTCTTCCACCTGATTCGATCCTCAAGCGGCCAATCTGGTCGTATACGGATATTTGAATCACGAGTTCTTAGTGCGTTTTTCAATAATATGTCTCTTTCTTCGAAACTCCCGAGAAACAGCTTCAGGATTTTTCTTGGTTGGGTCTCGCCTCCAACCCATTTACCAAGTCGTATTACTTTTGTAATATGTACCCCTGAAACCTCTTCAGGTAGCACATTTCTTACCACAGACTCCACTAACTGCAGTTCATGTGCATGTCTTCTAGCAGGGTCGTTATCTTTCGACTCCTCTAGATTGCAAATAATTAAACTAGGAAGGGGTTTGGCTTCTTTTGAAATTGTGTTAACAGCTTTCGACCGTGACGAAAGATCCTGTATATTAACTACTGGTATCTTACGATTAGCTTTTATTGTAACAGAGTCCTGTGAGTGACTCACAACAGTGTTAGACGAAGCTTTGCTTTGGATCTTTGGCGGATTGGTCTGAGAGTTCACCAAGGACTTATCAAGTAAACAGTCGTTAGTTTTAGCTGTCTTTCCTACTCTTCTGCGTTTTCGCGTCATCCATTTTCCATCAGTCGAAACATCTACATTAGAACAACTCGGGACAGTAATTGCCTTATCTGGATCACTAGTCGCAGGTGTAGCAATATGGCCACCAACGTCTAATGTGGTATCACTCACTGATCGTTTCGGGGGAGAACGTTTAACTGCGGGTTGTCCAGCTAGATGTCTAGCTTGCGCCGTGACAGCACTTACGACACTAACGCAATCTTCGCCATCAGTACCAATGTTACCAGTACGGCCCTCATCAACCTTCTTATTAGCCAACATCAGGAGGCTAAATGCTTCCTGGATGAGTAATGTTTCGCTCGAGCAGCAAAAACTACAAAGCCAACGGAAGTTGGGCTTTGAGCACCTTTTATATGCAGTGGGGCTTAATCGGGTGCACATCTTTTGGAACCACTTGTTACACTCATCACATTGCATCCCTTTCTCCACGGGACAATGAGCAATATGGTTGTCCACATTTATGTGCAGATCTAACCATCTTGAAAATCAACTAGAACGGTGACAAAAACAGGATATGTAAAAGGATTCTCAAACCTTAACTAAATAAACCAGGTAAAAGTCGACCAAGTATGCTTCGATGCAATAAATACACAAAAGCAAAATCGAAACACTCAATGCAATATCAATTCAACTGGGGTAGATACAATTAAAGTGTAAACGGTAGTTTTGATGCGTAATTTACGACTAAAACAGTTAATTAACTATGATTTACCAATTTCTTTTTCCTCTATTATCGTTAATATACCTAGTTTCCTGTCTCGAGGTATTGGTGATCTACTGCTACTAGACACGGAAACCCGTTAAGTGAAAGCTTCACCTATTCCGTCCACAGCCATTTGAACCATGTGGTCCAGGTCGTTCAAGGTCGTAGAGGCACATTTAATCTAAATCTGAGGTATCGCGGACTTTTGCGCTGATCCCTTATTTCTGCTTTGTGCACAGCCAAAAGTACAAATTAATTATAAATATATTTGAAAGCATATTTTCCGACTTTTAAACTAGATAGAAAAAGGGTTTTTCCATTTTGCGGCAAATGGTATCACAAAATCCTTGAAAACTTAATCAGGCACTGTAACAATAGTTTTTCTATAATTGCATCACAGACTAGCAATTATTTCTACCTGGCTATACAATAAGGGTAGACAAATAGTTTGTTTTTGTATGAAATAACGTGATTAAAGTATGTATCGATATCTACATTCCTCACTGATATAAAGTCTAATGTACGGCATTTACGCTGAAAGTCGGAGGGAGTACTTGCCACGCAACTAGATATTAACTTATCTATATTCCTAACTACGCACGTGCTCGTGTTTCTTGGTCGTTTGCGTGAGAGTTTAACCGTAGATTGGTTAGTTTCTTTGTGACACAAAAGTCCACCATGTGCATTGGATCTAATGGGAAAATTAGATCCATTATTTCCCTCAGACGGGAGAAAAAACAGACATTTTGGCACCTTTCCCCCTTGTTTTCCAACGCATTTTCCCCTTTGTTCGCCTTTGTTTTCCCTTTATTGGTTGGCTGGGATGAGATCGATCAAAGTGATGACAATAAAAGCTACAAGCTCTGTGGTCTAAGTAACTGTACTCCAAACTGCCCAAATGTAGCAGCAGCCAGGCTTTTCAAATTGGCCTTCCGTCAAACAAAAGGAGGGTCTGGGAAATGTCAATTATGAAATGAATACACGCCTGTGCCCTACAGGTTTTCGGTACAGTAAGGCAAATAGTAATACAATAACTACTCACAAATCGATCGTGAGCAATCGACTTCAAACTATCACCCCTTGAGCTTAGCGATTCAGTTTATAGGTCAACAAAGCTAATAATAACGTTCCAGCTTTCTTTCCAAATCTCACGAAAAGGAATTTCATGCTATGATGTTGGTAAAGGATGTATTTGACGTAATGCAATACAGAAAACAGGCCTACAGGTAGTTAAAGATGGCGACCAATCTTTATCGTCTGGTGCCGAACTGGAATTCAGGAACAATGTGACTAAACATTCCAAGTGGGTTCTCAACCTTGCCGTCGATGAATAAATCAGATCTTCATCCCTTGGGATGAAAGCATACTAGCTCCTCACTGTGGTAGTCTTTTTCGATCCTATAATTGCACTTGAATCCGTCGATCGACAGGCTTTGTAGTATCCTATGTAATTAAATAGTACACCAGAGTCTATTTTAGACCTGCTGAAAGCAGTTTACTTGAATACTGTCGGTGGAGTGGGTGCCTATAGTAGTTTGTCATCGGAAGTGGATCATCATGGTTTCCTAGCCTTTCCCTTTTGTTTAGTTTTGCCTCCTAGATTACAAGTAAATAAATAGAGCTTTAGGAAATCAGATGGATTGGGGACGAAAGAAAACTAACTCGTTCACCAGATACTTGGGTATGAGCCACACCAAGTGTGAGGGCTAATAATACTATTCGGTTGCCCTTACCAAATTAGATGGTGAAGTAGTTAAACCTTCGATTTAGTGATTGAAAGCTGAACCTCCTAACCAATAAGTCACAACATAAACTTTTGCTGGTATTCAAGTAACGAGTTAAACATAATAAAGGAAATCGATAGATAAACAAATGTGTTACGGGTACCGGGTCTTAGGGATTATTTACTGAGTCCTTCTATAAGTTTTCCACACAATAATATGCCAATTCTGGTGTTCACTGATATTCAGACGACCATTGGAGGTTTCGAAATTTCTGTTGTTTTCTATATATATGGTTAACGTTTTATCACTTACAAGTCTAACGATGATAGGAATGTAGTAGGTTTTTGTCTATAAATTCGATTTTATCAGATTAAATTAATCCTTGTGTTGTTAACCTTAGTCTTTAAAATGGACTACTTGACGTGCTAGTTACTGGAAATTCATCATACTATACATCCATCATTTATAGCTCTTGGGTTCATGGTGCATCAAAACCCTGTTTTGCAATTCTTCCTGTTTGTGTGCACTTTATATGTCTCATCATCATCATCTATACCGTGGCCACCAAAAGAAAACTATTTTGATCAGACTTTGGATCACTATAATTTTCAAGCAAGAAACTTGACTTTCAAACAGCGTTATCTGTATGAAGGTAAGGTATTTACATATTTTGATTGCTTCTTTGAAAAATAGATAAATGGTTCAAACCAAATGGACCCATCTTCTTTTATTGTGGAAACGAAGGAGGAATCGATGGGTTTTGGAACAATACAGGGCTAATATTCGAATTAGCACCTAGTTTTAATGCTTTCGTCCTGTTTGCTGAACATGTATGTATTAAATACATTCAGTAACTAGCTATTCGAACCAGAGATACTATGGGAAAAGTCTCCCATTTGATAAAAGCTTCCAGCAGCCATATATTCAATACCTTTCAGTTGACCAAGCGCTAGCAGATTATGCTTACTTAATTGAAGGTATCAAAAGTAAATTCAACATGAGTAGATCCCTTGTTGTTGCATTTGGTGGAAGGTAGGTTCTGTATTTCATGTTTACTTTATATCACAGCTATGGAGGCATGCTTGCAGCGTATATGAGGGCTAAATATCCCCATATAATTAAAGGTGCTTTAGCTGCAAGTGCACCAGTTAGATGGGTTGCAGGTGAGGGGAATTTTCACGACTTTTTTGAACGTGTCACTAAGGTAAGTACTCTTGTCCTTGATGAGTAGTTTTATTATTTAGGACTACCATGATGCTGATCCAAAATGTTCAGAGAAGATTAAAAACGCCTTTAATTTAGCTGTTCAGCTATCTCAGAAACCTGATATAGGTAGGCTGTAAAAGGTTTAACTATCAGTTTATCAGTATTAGTTTCCATAAACATTTTGGTGATTCAACTGTGTTCGGATTGAGTTGTTTTTCCATGTAAAACCACTAATAATGAATATTTGCTTGAACTTATAATGTTTGTTCAGTAAAATATCGGTACAAAATTTTGTTCTACAATTTTATTTAGATTTTTGCGTCCGATTTTTTTTTACAATAATGTCCTTTGATTTGTATTCGATTTGTAAAGACGCAGACATATTTAGAGTTAGCTTTTGGATAAATAAACGTAGATCTAAATACGTAAATACAGTTTACAATTTATAAGTAACGTGATTATCCCCACAAAGTCTTCTCAGTTTTCAGAAAAAAATGAATACAGTTCCAAAGTCATTCACTAATTTCGACTTCAGTCTAAAATTCAAAGTAATTCTGTGTGCATTGTATGGTAAGAAGGAAGACTTAGTTAAGACTAAATTGAATGAACCGGAAAGTGACTCAAGAGTTCTTGCTCATCTTGAAAAGTTAAGGTGAAGTTAAGTTTTTAAATATGCCAGTTTTATTCTTCCAAAACTGTTTACTGATGTCAATATTTATGAAGTGCCCATAAAAAGTGTTTGGTGAGCATTTGTTAATTTTCACTACTTGTTACAGTTGTCCACAGCTATTTAATGATGATACTGGCTCCAATTATTTTACTCATGGCGATAAACACTTAAACGTTTTTTCGGTAAATCAAGTTCATTTCAATATATCTGTATATATTATACACTCACCTACTAATGCTGAAACCTATAAGCAATGTTTATTTAGTGTACATCTATCTTTCCTGTTAGTTTTGTTCATTCTGTCTCAAGGTGTGGCATTATTGTACTAATTTTCTTGACTTTCGCTATGTGATTTTATTTTCGGATTTTTCGCCGGGTATATTAGTCTTTGGTTGATCAGATAAAGTAAAGTATTAATTTTGGTGTTATTGTCAATTTGTTGTATAAACAACCATATATTTTGAGATACATATCCATGCTTAACTCTTGTTTAAAGTATTTATAAAAATGTCATTTACAGGCTACAAACAACTCTCTAATGACCTACGGTTATGTAAACCTGTCCAAAATGATTTCGAATTTTACTGGGTACTGAAATGGGCTCGCAATGCATTTGTTATGATGGCTATGTTAGATTATCCCTACAAGGCATCATTTATGGCAAGTCTACCTGCTAATCCTGTAAATGTCTCGTGCAAAATTGCGTTATCAGTCACTGATCTCATTCCGACCCTTCGTGAGGCTGTTGGAGTTTTCTACAACAGTTCACAATGTATGTTTACCATATCCTGTTGCTTTTTATTATACTTTTTAGGATATTCCACGTGAATACGTTCTTACTCGCTTGTCATCGGACGTAACTCCTTCAGCACATAAGGTCCATGGACTTTCTAACGAAGGCATTAGTATATTCATCCGACAGTATCAGTATCAGTATTTATACCTTTGCCTTCAAATATCAATACCTGATATCTATCTTTGGTTATCTGTGCAGTTGTAGTTGAGAGAAATATCTGCTACCTAAGTTTCAGCCTAGTTAAACTTTTCATTAACCCTTACAACTACACTGTAGTTTTGTGTACATAGTGGAGGCTACTTAAAAGCTGATTGATTTTTTGTTGGTTAGATGTGGATGGGACTTAAATCTATTCTTACCTCACGGTATCATAAAAGATTTCAGTCATGTCTCAATAATATACTACACATCTGTTGTGAAATTTCTTCTGCATAGAAGTAGCTTTCAAGCCATGCAAACCGCTGGTTCGAGTTAGAAGATTCAGACTTGAGAACAGAACAAAAATTGACGCCGATGAACTTGGTGTTAAAGAATTGGGGAGTATTGTTCTTCAGTGACTTTTGAGAATACAATGCGAAACTACAATATTGGGAAAAAGTAATGAAATATTAATTGTTATGATCAACCTAACCAGGTGAAAATATGATTATAACGATAAAACTGGTACAGAAAAATATAAATTTAAAGATGTCACTTATTAAAATCATACTCACATTACTCCTATGGTTTTTGAAAGGGGATATAAGCTGTGTTTTATAACTTATCTATAGTTTATACGACTAATGTGCACATCCTATCTCATTTAACCGAACTAAATACTGTTGAAAAGTCACAGGTTTTCTTTTCCACCACTAAAGCTAATAGTAGTCAAATAATTTGTTAATGATACTTTTATTCCAATTATCTTGCTAAAATGTACAACAAATTACAAACATACAGCTTAGGTAAGTAGTTAAGCAATCCAATCAACTATTTTTTAAACGATAAACAATACAATATTGATTGTTAAGCAAAAAAGCTTGTAACTGAGACTGCGAAAAATTTCTGATTTAAATTTTTCTCGAAATATTCAGAATCATCGTCCTAAATATATCTCAGAAGCTTGAATGCAGTTAAAATAGTATATAAATACGGTTTATACTATGTAAAATGCTTTAGTTCTAAGTGAGCACCTTTCTGTTAATTTGTATGCGGAAATAAGGGTTTAGGAATTGAGAAAGTTGAAAAATTGCTATTAATCGTTTAGCTCCCAATATAGAATTTAATTTACCCTGATAATAATAAAAGTATGTTTTGTTAAAAAAATTAAATTTTAGCTCTCTCGTGTTTCGACTATAAAACACAGTTTATTGAGTGTGCTGATATAACAGGATGTGGTCTAGGCAGTGATTCACTTGCTTGGGATTTTCAGGTCAGTAATTATTTCCTTCTAATTAAATTTAATCCATGAAGTAAGGATATATCAGCTTTAGGATGTGATTTGTTATTGTGAAAATCTTTGAATAATTTATCTTTTGGCTAAGTAACGAACTCGATCTCAATGTAGAGCGAGGCGTTTGAGATATTTTAAATCACTTGCAGTGAGTTGGTAATGTGAAATTTATCACCTTTTTACTAAGACTTAAAGCTATCCTAATAAATTTATGTATTAATCAAGATTAATTGCTACTAAACGTATCATAATTTTCCCTGTTGTTAAGTACATGACTGTTTTACTTCTCATAAACACATTTCGGTAATATAAAGACTTTTATTTGAAATGGGACATTAAAAAATCTTTAATGTACAGAACAGAATCTCTGTTTTCACTTTGAAAGAGAGAGCTCTGTTTGAATTTCACGATTATAATCCCATTATCCTATCCGTCAAATAGTTTTTATTTCAGGTTATTAATGTTGGCAAATAATAATCACCAGTAAATCCAAGGTATGTGGTGAAGATTTGTAGGTCAAGAGGCGGATTTGCGAGATGTTGTAGCCTTTTCTACAAAAATGTGGTCACATGTCATTAGCCTGTGAAAATTCATTGTAGCTTTAATCTTTGAACATAAATTTGTACAAGATTATTGTTTACCTAGGTACAGACTATCTAGTTGGGGCCCGTGTAATTGTGGTAACTAATGTTTAGAAACGTCGTTTGATATGGCTCAAAATCGATCACTGTGGCACTGATGCAGCTACTCTTTGTCTTCCTTTAGATAATGAGTTTCAAAATTATGTTATACTTTTCATTGTACAAATTCATTGGTCTCAAATCTGTGTTCCTAAACTTATTTACTCCCGTCTACACTCCTACTGTGGATAGGGGGCATCGAGTGGAATGTTCTGGCGGGGTGGCGTTAGGTCTATCAGTCGCTATCAACAGAGAGTAGAAGTGGGACGTGGGTTGACATTGGATTTAGATGGTCCGGCAGGTCGATAGAACTACAGAGGTCAGCGCGCCGGTGGACTCGATTCTTCGATGAAGAGTGTGGCACGGTGAGCAGAACAACTGCAGGAGCGACGGTTCAAACGAGGGACGAGTGTAGTGTATGCTACTTGTGTTGACAGATATAAGTAGTATGTAGCACCAATCGAAAGTGGAATGTATGGTACCAGAAAATTGCAATAAAGGGAACAGGAAAGAAATCTAAGAGTAATCGAAGTAACAACAGAATTAGAGGAATAATGGAGTATGTAAAGGACAACGCAAAGAAGATGTGCATATGATGCATTTAATGTATGATTTTCATAATTTACTAAACCACTTCATGATTTCGCACTAAACAATAAAATAATTTTTCCCACCAAGGATTCATTCACTACACTACAACTAATATTATTCTAGTACTCATCTTGTCGATTTCACTTCGTTGTTTTGATGCAGTGTTGCAACTCGAATAGATACGAGTATGTTTCGAGTTGCTTCGGACTGTCTGAATTATCTAACGCATTCTTAGTGTACAACTAATGTGATTGTCAAATTATTTTTTCGCACTTAATTATCTATACTAACCGTCTCGTTTTGTTCATCATCAAAAAATTACTCTTTTGTAATTGTTTTTTATTCTAGAGTTGTACAGAGATGAATTTACACGATGACTCAAATAGTACTACAAATGATATGTTCACTTCTTTACCTCTAACAAAACAACAAGTAACAAGTTATTGTCAACGAAAATGGGGTGTTACACCAGCATTTAATCAATTGTCAACATTTTATGGTGATAATAGTATGTTATATTGTTGTTTTTGTTATGGTTGTTGGCTTAATTTGTTCTTTTTATTAACAAGATATTTTTTTCTATTCATTAAGTAAATAGTTAGTTACAAATTTCAAATGTCTTAAACATCAAATGAATTTTTTACAGTTTAATTCAATCATTTAATCTGATAATCTTGAATTCAATAGAGGCTTTATCTTATATTCTTATTGGTTAAGCCTGTCTATCGTCTAATCAATAATCTCCACTGCACACATATTTTTACATCTATGGATAATCAAGTGTTTCTTTTTTCTGTGTAATCTTAATAAGGATCAATGTCTGTAGTTGTTAGTGTGGATGCAATATTGGGAATGATAAAACCTGTTACATTCTGTAAAGAAATATTCAGCAAAGAATGTAAATATTTGAAATTCTAACTGATTTCACCATTATGCAACAGCACAAATAGAGTTTTATTTGGTACAGGGGACATTGTATTGTTTAAATTTTGAGTACGTATACAGTAATGGTCAATCTATAAACGGTCACTAGCCTTCGGATTTTCAAAGAATAAGTAAAAGACCCATGGCAAATAAAATGAAAATGTTACAGTGGTCAAATTAATTGATTCCCCATTTTTTTCCACCCTTAATCTCAAAATATCGAATGATAAATGGAAAATATTGAATAAACTTTGTTTAAACGATACATAGTTACTTATCCAAAGTAAAAAGGATTAAATTATTGAATCTCGATTTTCGTTTCCCAACATATTATATTTTTCCATGAATAAGATATAGCTGTCTATATGGTGTTTGTTTGTAAATCCTTCTTATACGTATCTTGTCAGCATTGTCTAAAATTATGTTTATTACTAACATTATGGAAAATTCATTAGTATTTTCATCATGAACAATCCTTTCCTTCTCCTGTTTACGTTTTTCTTTCTAACTAAAATTTCTCATAGTTTACATAACTATGATACCTTAGTTAGATAATCACCGGAAACAAATAGAGCACTGGGTAGTATTCATGACCTAACTGGGTTTCAAATGCAGGACCCTGAAGTGCCACTCTATGTCCTCACCAGTGACTAATTTCGACAGATAACTCCCGCAATTCTAGTGGAAAGCTGTGATCGGTGGAGTTCAGCCAGGTTGTATGTAAGTCAGTTATCCACCAGTGATATGGGGAGGTGGTTGCTTAATATCAAGATTTTATTAAAGTCAAGCGTTCGCTCTCGAGACTTGATGATCATGGGTCGTTAACGATCACTTTCCAGTGCTTCGTGATTTTCGATACTTGTCTAACTGAGGTCGGTTCGTGATGTAAACTATGAAAATCAATCGATTTCACTTTGACGTTTAGTATTAAGTCAAATTAATTGCTTTAGCCTGGAGGTCACAGCTTATTTTGTCACTTATTTTTATCGTCCTGATAAATGAGTTTTTTATATTGTGCATGGAATAACATAGCCTCTTTAAGTTAGGTGGTTTATGAAAATTTGTTTAATTTGACAATGTTTTTCATTACAGACTGACTGGTAATGGCTAGTATTGATTTATTAAGAAGGACACTTAAAAGTTGTCTAGTCTCAGCGATAGATTCTTCTGAAGTACCTATGTACAATGTCACAATGAATCTGAACCTGCATTTTTATGTTTTATTAATAGCCAAAAAATTATGAATCATTGAATTTCTACTCTGTGGTTGAATATCTTCGTGTTGGATGGTGGTACGCATACACCACTAAGAAATCGTAGATTAGGACTAACCGGCTGCCTGATCACTGTTCAGCCATTTGCGGTGGTTCTCTGTTTAATGCTAGTGTATATCGTGAATCATTTAGCCTAGATTGTTACGTTTCTTATCCCATTATTCTAACTCTTTTCATCTTGACCGTTAAAACATATTGAAAACACTTTTAAAAAATACAACTATATTTTCAGTTTGGAAAACTTCAAGCAATATCATATTTTCAAATGGGAATTTGGATCCATGGATGGGTGGTGGAGTAAGTAAGATGTGTGATCTATTTTTGTTTTTTCCCACTAATTCTAATTTATGGATAGAGTTTTTTATGAATCAGACGTGTTTTATACGACCCCGTGTTGTTTTATTTATACAATTAATATAAAATTATGCATTATTGTTCATTTAATTTTGGTGAGAGTGTTGTATCTTTTTGTTGGAATTCATGTTTTGTAATTCGGATCACGAAAGGACCTAGGTTAGATGACCACTATAAACTGGTAAGCTTTAGACAATTGTCTCATCCAAGTATGGGATTCCTCAGCAATGGGCATCTATAACTATACCACCGAGACTGTTAAGTAAAAGTCAACTATTTTTGAAGTTGCGTTCTCTGAGTTAGATAGTAGTCTAGTCGTGAAGCTTTCATTGTCCTTATCGATAACATGATCAGTAAATCATATTTTTGAGCTATAAATCCTCTTATTTATTTATATACTTGAACACATAAATATTGGTACAAGGGGGCACCGAATATATATGCGCCACACAAAACTGTATATTTTGTCTTCTGTTTCAAGGGTATATTTACTGCATACTAAGTCATCTAATATGTTTAGTGTAAATATAAAATGTTAATTATTTAACTGTTATAAACAAATTTGAAGTGATATCTTTTTGTGGTTAAACGACTGAATTATCAAATAATACGTCTCATCTGTATACCTCGCTTCACCTACTTCGATTTAAACAGTTAGGATGGTATCATTATCTATGAAACATCAAAAGGTGTGATTAAAAACCCAGTAAATAAACCTATGATTTGATAAATGCTTTGCATAATATTATGTTTTCTCAAGCGAATTTACAATTTACTACTGAAGTCACAAGTTTTGACAGTACTATCCATAAAAGACTGTATCTGTCAGTTAGGTGGTAATCATTATTCAAATATGGTAATAGAAATAATTGTTTTGTGTTCTTAAGTCTTTGTATTTAAAAATGACAGTTTTAGATTCTCTTGAGAACTAACAGCTATCCACTGAATACCCAAAAGCATAGTGAAATGTAAAAAATTTTGACTGATATATTTCTAATCTCCGCAACTGAGGAAAAAAAATCTTACTGCTATCATATCCGTACTCACTAATCAGACCATATTCGGAGACTCTTATATCAATAGATTATGGTAAAATATTATGATAGTTTCGTTTATTAGCTTAATCACTCTTCAAACCATTTCCATATTATAGTAGGACTTTAAGAAATAAACATTCCAGTCAGTTTAGATCGACTGTTATATTGTTGTCACTAATTCAGAGCACATCTATCGTATCATTCAAGTTAATGGTACTTGATTCAAGTTAATTAACTGACATTAGATCGATAGTTGGACAACATAATTACTAATTACTAATAGTTTAACATGTAAACATTTTCTAATAGACTACATAGTTGTTACTATGGTCATTAGGTCAATTCGACCATATTTATTATCAAAGTGTTCTCATACAATTTATTCATTAGAATGATATATGTCATATAGTTAAACAAGTTAATTTATCGAATTATATTCAGGGTACAGTTTTTTTTTTAATGGTTTTCTAGAATATCGATGTAATTACTAAAACTATGAAACCCGATAATTTTTTGTAATTTACAAATATTCATTCAATTTATTACATTCATCTATGTTTGAAGTCAAACTTTGCACTAATCAATTTTTTTCATTTTTATCATTGTTAGATTTTAACTGATCAATCAGAGAAAGTCATCTCCTTGGTACTAGATGGTGGAGCTCATCATCTTGATTTAAGGTATTTATTTTTCCTCTCCCGATTTGTCCAGTTTAATGAAAAGTATTCAGTTGATAAATGAATTAGGCTTGCAAAACTGTTCATCAATACCTACCTGTGTAAGTAAATCATCAAAGATGAAGTTGAAAAGTAACGGAATAGTATATTGTGTGGAAACGAAAATAGTATGCATATTCACCAGTCATGCTACTCGATCCACTGGTTTCCGTCACCTCATAGAAACACCATAATCCGTCATTCATGTAACCCATACCAGGTCTTAATTAACCTACCTAGCTAAGTATAAGATTGTGTTATCAATTACAAAGTTGCACATAAAAATATCGTTCAAAAAAAATTTACCTGACTAAATGAGATGAATTAATAACTTCGACCTGTTGAACAATAGTCCAGTTACATACTATCTGTTGAAATTTGTTTTCGCTCATGATTTGATCAGGTATTTCTTCGGTATCAATCAATCGGTCTGTCAAACGTAATGTAGAATCTAGTACGCATGTACATCAGTTCAAGTTGTCAACACCCCACTAACACGGCGAGATGAGATTGTTTGGGCAAATCCTATATTAGTAGAGGTACTTACAGTATTATTAATAATATTAGTTTGTCCTCTTTCTTCTCATATCTTTTCTTTTTCTTCAATCACATAGATCACCAGATCCAAACGACCCGCCATCAGCACGTCAAGTTCGTCAAATTGAGGTACAAACAATTCGTTCATGGCTTGATTTATGAAACTTCTAAATATTCTTACTACACTTTGTAATCTTTTTCTTTCTTTCTAAGTGAATCATATTCTTCATTCTGTTCATTACTATTTTTATCTTCCCAAGGAAATATCATCATTATCTTGTGATTATAATTACTAAATTTTTCTGATTTGTACCCAGTGCCCCTAGATTATTGAATATTAAATAAAAATTATTTTATTATTGTGATATTCTTGACCAGTATTTTTTTAGCATTCCATTTTATAGTACGGTAAATATAACTCATAAGCCATGCACTTATGCTTGTATAAGATAATTACCTCGATTAAGTATATGTAAGCCAAGAGCATTAGCTATACAATTCCATGACAGATGTTTTTATTAGGAACACCAAATCGCTTACAAATCATCTATTGATATGAATGTTTTGTAGGTATCATTACCAAAGTTTGACTTGATAATTTCGAATAAATTAAGCATTGGGATAGATTGTTATAAATAAATTAATATATTTGTAGTATTCCACTTCTTCAACACTGGCTTACACTGAGTCACGAAACGTCAGAAAACTTTGTTTTTCTACTCATTGGGATATTACAAATAAAATAAATTTATTTATTGTTATGTTTTATGTTAGTAGTTGTCATTGGTTTTTCTTGCGAACACTCGATCATTTTTTAAAAACTACATTCTTATCAATACACTTTACTCATTCAACTATTGAAACGTGTCAGAATCAGGGTTATTTGTATTCTTAATTAGTTAACCGATTAATTATAATTAAGCGTGCAGATCATTAAATACGAATAGATTATAATTGTCTATAAATCACAGTAATACGAGATCTATCTTATGCTGGTTCAATTTCATTTATTAAAAAAAAGCACTTAAAATCTGTCTGAATTAATCATCCCATCATGAAAAAGTATATCTGTTTAACTATTTTTGGATAAACCATATAGAGATAACAACCAAATTTTCTTGAGCATAAATCGAATATCGATCCACTGTAAATTCAAACTAATATGCAAAAAATGGTTCTCCCAGTTACCTCAACGTAATCGGTTCATACAATCAATAGACATGGTACTTACTTGAAATTGTTGGAAATGTATACGTGTGCAAATATATATATTGGATCCGATTGAAAACCCTTCAAAATCACTGATCAAAATTGAAAATTACTTTGAATGTCTTGATTCATAGAGGAGCCTAAATGAGATTATTTGAAATTCGGCAATTTTTCCTGTCAATTTCATTCATTCGAATTATGAATAAGAATACTAACAGATCATGATCAATGAGGAATCTCTGTTGAAAAATTACTTTGTGTTAAGAAACTACCGAACTATACACATGATAATTTGTTACAGACCAGTTTGATTAATATATCAGATGATACGTACAAGTTGTACCAAATATGAGTAAATATACGTGTGATAAATAAGGTGGCAGCTAAGGAAGATGTTATCCTAGTGATAGAAATAACAAAGATGTCTCTCAAATTAGAAATTAAATTTATTTATGAACAGACTGTTTATCGCATACATTCACTGATTAGAATTTTATTTATCAAAGTTATCAGTTAGTCAATCATAATCAACGTTTATCCTGACAGAAATGTACGTTAGTAGAAGTTGCTATACCATATTGGCATAATGAAATGAATAACAGAGGAGTTGACATAATTGAAGTAAAAATGATAGTCAGGAACAACAAACATTGAGAAATCAGTTTTAGATGACGGAATAGAAGTATATATAGGAAGGAATATTGGGGATTAAGATAAAAAGAATATGCTACTCATACTATTTTGACTGATTCTGGGTTATGTCACTCAACATCTTCAACCACTGATCGTTACTGCCACATAGACGTCAAGCAGATTGTTCGCACCCTCCGTAACGGTTCAGACAGAATAAGTGACTTACTGAACTGACGCCGCGTCTTGGTTGGGACACCCCTGACGTTCTTCCTTCTTACGCCTATTGCAGATATCACTGTGAGTCAAGGTAGGCTACCGACAGAGCAGAAAACCTAGAGACTATCTTCAGCCACCATACATCAAATCCATTCTCTGTTTTATTGACTGATAATTGTAACATCTGTAGATGATTGGACACATAATCAATTACGAACTCGTAAGTTTGTTTTCTATAAGCAAAGATGGATAGTGGCTAGCACTGGAATCCAGGACGCGCGTCTCGTCCTATTTGGGACTCGTCAGTTGGATGTACCTGTATCTCAGTGTTGATATTCACTCTGGGAATTAAGGCAATATCAAGACATACTCACAGTATGCACATATGCCTATAACAGACTGATCAATTGCAGTCTTAAACCTCAATGGGAAGATACAAGCAAAACAATACCAAGTGAACTTAAGTTTGTTTGTTTGATATTTTAGATTACTTCCTTAGAACAACATCTTGGACGAAATAAGGGTGAAAGAGTAGTAATGAACTAAAGGTTCCTTTTGTATATACAGATTAGAGTTGAGACGACAAATAGCTGTTACTTCTACGTAATATATAAGTTTGCCTTCTGTCTAATTATCATCGTTGAGAGTATTGCCCGTTCAGGAAATTTCATGAGAAAATAGAACAAGTTTAAGGAATTTTGTCTTGTATCTCCAGATGGTATGTGAATTTGAAGGTCTCAGTAACTGACCAACGTGGTATAAGTTATTACGTATGATGAAAATATCAAAAACACATATCAAATAAAACGTTTGTTTTATCGCACGCTTGGGTTTGACTTTTTTAAAATTTGTATTTGAAAAATGTCGGTAAATATTAGGCCAAGCGGACTATCCATAGTTAAACTTTCTGTCCCTCTATAATACTTTACATTAAATGAACAGGGCAAAGCTTTCGTGTATAATAGATATGATTCTACCAACCTTTTTTCAGAAAGTTAGTCTTATCGGCGTAACCGCATACACAATATCAAATCTTTTCTGTTTAAACCTTAGTTAATGAAAACTGCACTGGAAGAAATCTTTTACTTTCTTCTCAATCTGGTACCACCTATTCTACTAAAAAAAAGTCAAAACTATCTCTTAAACTGTGTACGACTACTTATTTTCTTATAGATTTAATCAACTGAGCGAATCATAAAGATATAATGAATTACTCATCGAAAAGACATGTAATGGTAGGTTATGCATTTAAAATAGACTCTATGTCTTTCTTTGACAAGTAGATATCACAAAAATTTAAATATTTCCAAGTTGATCATCCAGTATTTATCTTTGAATATCTGGTTAGCGTTTTTTAGCGAGTTAGTTTTCTACGGGATGGGGACGCTAACCCCATTCCCAACCCTCCTCCTTTATCCGGGCTTGGGACCGGCAGTAGCCCCGGGAGGGACTCCAGGCGGAGTTTAACTAAATGATTTAATTGATTAATGAAAATAAAGGAAAAAAGAATTTAAATCTGTCATAAACTTGAAATATTCATTTATATATAACACATTATAATATAAACAATAATTTTGAACAGACAGTACAAGGTTCATTTAATTTATAATAGAAATAATCTTAAATAGTCTGTACATTGAAAAAATCTCAATTTTTGTGTTATATATGAAATAGTTTGTTACAAATAATGGAGAATAAGGAAGGAAAAAAAACTACCATAGAAACATTTATAAACCAAGATTAAAGTATATAATTAAAGACCTTTGTGCTTAATATTTTGTTGAACATGCCTAATTGTAATATATTACATGTAATTTATAATGATCATGACACAAAAATCACAGATTAGTTGAGAATAAATGATATCAATTAACTTATAAAATTTGATCACTTCTATTGAAGGTAGAAAAGCGTTTTCTCTTTGTCATGACTTTATGCCTGGCTTGTTATCACGTGATTTATCCACCAATCAAAATACGACTTATACAAATCTTCGCCCTGTGCAAAACCAATGACCTTCAACCGGTATGAGCAGTCTAGCGTCCTTATTGGTCCCATATCCTCCTAGCCCGTCCACCTGAGTCCAGAACACAATACCAGCTTCTGAAATGTGAATCGAAATGAATCGTTTATTTCAGACATACTCGGTTTATATATCAACCAGACAGACCACAACGTACCATAAAATAAAAAATAACATGTGTACACAATAAAGCCAAAAAGTGACTGTGTGTGTGGGAGGCAGTAGTTAATAAACTGAACATAGTTTAAGAATCGTAAATCGTACAATAATAAATTATAGGTCAAAGTAAAGCTTATAATAAGAGGAATATAGTTATACGTAATCTAATTGTTGAATAGTTATACAATAAGAATATTTATAGAATATTAGTTTATTAATAGTCCTCGGAAGTTACCCGTAATTTAATCTTTGCTCGGATATAACACTTTTTTCTCTAAAAAGAGAATAACTATAGAATTAATTCCATGATATGCATATCTTTTTCACCCACATGAACGAGCTTTGGAAAAATAATAATCGTCTAATTGAAAAATCTAACGATGCGTTGAATGTGTTTTTGACTGTTCTTATCACTATTATTATGATTATTATTATTATTGTTGATGGCTTTATTCATTATTATTCTTTGGTACAATATAGAATTCTCAGTACGAAGTACTCCAACAAGTTTCTTTTACAAAAACAAAAGAAAATCAGAAGAGAAAAAGGTGAAAAAAAGATCTGAATCTGTAGAACTTTTCAAATTAGAAACATGTTTAAGAATTCAGGCTATAGACACTAAGTCAACTCTGATTGATTAAAACGCAATACAAATTTTTATAAAGCCCTATAACATATTTTTAAAAAAAACCCAACGTGAATGAACGTATTTTTGCTAATTTTGTTTCCAAGCTATTAACAATTATAAGTCTATACGACCATTCGTCAATATTAGAACGAATAGTTTGACAAAAATTGGGCAATTAGTATAAAGAAGTCACTATAAGTGAAAATTATATTTGAAATAATCTCAGCGATTGAAACTTAAAATAATTCCAACGTTTCGTCCAGCTAACTTGCCCGGACTTCTTCAGGACAATAG